TTGCTCACAAAATGTACCTGTCCCCTAGGGCCATCAGAGTTTGCAGTCTCCACCTTATACCAATACCCTGTGCTGCCTCCCCACAGTGGTCAAAACCTTCTTAGCAGCCACCGTGAGTCAAGCACCCATCCATCCAGGCAGTGCTGAGAAGTCCCCATGGACCACATCCCTTAACGGTCATGCACTATGTGAAGCAGAAACGCTGTGATCCCAGCTTTCCAGATGAGGAAACTGAGGACCAGAGTGGTCACACAGCTTGCAATGTGGCAACACCCAGATTTGAACCCAGACCTCTAAATCTCCACATTCCCCTGCTGGGCAGAGCTACAGAGAGCCAGCAGGCCCATGGGCCCCACTGTATAGCCCCCCTGCCCAGCCCTCACCGTTCTCCTGGGCAAAGCGGGAGGCCTCCAGGAAAGTGACCTCACGCTCCAGGTCCAGGTCCTTCTTGTTGCCACAGAGAATGACCACGATATTGGGGCTGGCCAGCGTGCGGGCATCCGTCAGCCAGGCGGCCAGCGAGTTGTAGGTCTCCCGGCTGTGGAGAAGGGAGCCAGGAGGGAGGCGGACGCAGGTGGGGGGCAGCCCAGGCCCCACCCCGCCCCACTCCGTGCACCCACCTGGTGATGTCATACACCAGCAGGGCTCCAGCCGCCCCTCGGTAGTAACTCCGTGTCACCGACCTGTGGGGCCAGGGGGACCCAGTCACCCCTGAGGCTGGGGTGTGCCCCAGGACTGCCCCCCTCTGCGGAGAGAGACTGGTGGTTCGGAGGCCCCCCTTCACTGCTGGCCCATCCCCCTAAACCTGGCCGTGGTCTACAGTTTCTCTCACTTGTGGTCTCTCTGTTTCCCTCAATCTCTATCGCACTTAGCTGCCTGCCTCTGCCTCAGTCTCCCTACCTTTTTTTCTTTTTTTTTTTTTTTCATTTTTTAAAACTTTTTGGGCTTCCCTCGTGGCGCAGTGGTTGACAGTCCGCCTGCCGATGCAGGGGACACGGGTTCGTGCCCTGGTCCGGGAAGATCCCACATGCTGTGGAGCGGCTGGGCCCGTGAGCCATGGCCGCTGAGCCTGCGCGTCCGGAGCCTGTGCTCCGCAACGGGAGAGGCCACAACAGTGAGAAGCCCGCGTACCACAAAAACAAAAAAAAACAAAAAAAAACAACTTTTTGGCCGTGCCATTTGGCCTGTGGGACCTTAGTTCCCTGACCAGGGATTGAACGTGGGGCCCCGGCAGTGAAAGCACTGAGTCCTAACTACTGGACGGCCAGGGAATTCCCTCTTCCTACCTTTGACTCTCTCTGTGTCCCTGTCTTTGTGCATCTCTTCATTGGTCTGTGCCTTTCTGTTTCTTGTGTGCATGTGTATCTTTAATTCTCTATTTCTCTCCATCTCTGTTGCTCTGGCTCTGTCATCCTCACCCTTTCCCATTCATTCATTCATTCAATATTTTCTGTCATCCCCCTTTCGCCAAGTCCTAGCCAAGCACTACACAACTACATCCGCTTGGCCCTCTCCTGCTCTGGTTGGGGAGGCCCCCTTCCCAGAGTGGCCAACTGTCTGCTTCTCCCTGGAACAGGCTGGGTCCCTCTGGAACTCATGCAATCATGCCGCAAGCATTTATGGAGCACTTACTGCCAGCCTGGTGCACGTCGTACACCTATCTCCCCTCCACCCTCTCAGTCTCTATCTCTGTGCACCTCAAGCAGAGAACTCACACACAAACATTAACTCAGCAGCTACTCAGTGCTGCCCAGGGACCACACTTCCCCATGGACTGGATTCCCTTGCTTCTCTCTCCCTGCTGAGAAACTCCCTGAGTTTCTCAGACTCAGGGTTTCCATGTGTCTGTCACCTTTTCTGCAGAGATGTCCTAAAGACATACTGTGTGCTGAGTCCTACACATTTCCCTCTCCCCACAAAACATCCATTTCTCCATCTCTCTGGCCACCCCTGTCCCACTCTCCCTGTCTCTCACCTCTGTTTCTCTTTGAGTCTCCTTATCTCCCTTCTCTTTCTCTTCTCTCTCAGTCTGTCTCTCTTTCTGTCTCCCTTCCTGAGTGTTTGCATCTCTCTTTCAAGTTTCCTTTTCTGTTTTAGTCATTCTCTGTCATTCTCTACCCCTCGCCCTACCCCAAGCATCTCCTTGTCTCCAGGCCTCGTGTCTCCCTGGGGAAAAGTCTCCATCCCTCCAGCCACATGGGTTTATCCCACAGTCTCGCTAGGGTCTGCCGTCCCTCCCGGGCCCTCTCACTCTTCATTATGCTTCCTTCTCAGTCTCTTTTTCTCATTGTCTCTGCCATCCTCTCTCCAAGACGCCTTCTTTCTTTGACTACGTGGACCTGCTCATCACAGTCTCTTTCTCTCTCTCTCCCTCTCCCTTGCCTGCCCCCTCAGCGTCTCCTTGCTCCTGTCATTATGTTTCCAGGTAACTCTGCACACCTCTATCCCTCCTCTCTCCTCCCCTCTCCCCTACCTTCTCTCCATGGGGGCCCAGCCCACCTACCGAAACCGCTCCTGGCCGGCTGTGTCCCAAATCTGTAGCTTCACGGTCTTCCCACCCACGTTGACCACCCGAGATCCAAACTCCACGCCGATTGTGTGGTTGGAGTCCTGTTTGACTGGGAGTGGGAGGGGGAGAAGAGGCAGTGCGGGGGCTCAGAGGATTCCCTGTCCTCCAAGGCCTCCTCAGCCGGTACAAACCCATTCTCATTGCTGGGGTGACTGAGGCGCAAGGAGGACCTAGCAAAGAGCGTATACCAAGGTAAGGACCAGGCAGCCAGCACTGGAGTTGTACCTCTGGCCAGCCCTGCCCCTGCCCACCCCGGCAGCTACCTACTTGCCCACACCATGGCCATGCCCACAGTTTAGTGCTCCCAGGACCACTGTCAGAAACTCACACTTATTCTCAATGAACTGATGAAGGAGACATGATTTGCCCGTTCCTGCACTGCCAATCACCAGGAATTTGAAGAGGAAGTCTGAGCAGATGGAGCCAAATTCAAGGAAACCCATGGAGAGAGAAAGATAGACATGAAAAGATGGAATCCAAAGAACATCACAATTATGGGGAGAGAACAGACACAGACAGATACAGAACAGTGGGTAACAACTGTAACGGATAATTCTTATATAGTGCTTACCACATACCAGGCACAGTTCTAAAGGTCTTTACTTACATCAACAACTCAACCCTCAGGAAAACTCTGTGAGGGAGATATACTAATAATTATCCCCATTTTCCAGATGAGGAAACTGAGGCCAGAAAGGTTAACTGACTTGTCCAAGATCCCACTGCCAGGTAGAGCTAGGATTCACCATTTTATCAAGGACTACAATCTTGCCCTTGGCCCCCACAACTCAGCTCCTACCACTTTCTGATTCATTCACTCCACTCCAGCCTCTGGCCTTTAGTCTACTCCCTGAAGATGACAAGCTGGTTCCTATCTCAGGGTCTTTGCATAGTTCCCTCTGCTTTTCTCTGTTTGTTGAATGAATGCAGCTCCCTCTGACCCCTAAACCAGTGCTCCTTTTACCGCACCCTGTTCTCCTACTTCCTATCTATCCATCCATCCAGATTTTCCAATTCTCAGTCCCTCCATCCCTCCCTCAGCCCAAGGCCCTACCCCTATTCTCAAGCTTAAACCCCACCCCTTGCCATTAGCCCCACCGCCTAAAGGACAACTCACCCCCAACCGCATTCCAGACCTCTCCCAGAGTAATCCCAGGGCCCAGAGCATCCCTTCAGCGTCCCCCCAGCCCATCAAGGTTGATCCCTGCCATTCACACAATCAGCCCCGCCCCATCCACTCAGGCTCCGCCCAGACACATTAAGGCTCATCCTTTCCCTCAAGACCTAACCATGATCCATCAGGACTGTTTCCCTCAAATCCCGCCCCAGATCTATTTCGCCCAGACACCAGACCCTCAGGCTCCGCCCAAACTGATTAAGCTCAGCCTCAGACCCACTAAGCCCCTCCCAGCATCAACTAGGCCCTGCCCCATAATAGCTGACCCCGCCCCCTGATATATAAAGCCCCGCCCCATACCCACAGGCCGCATCCTTTCTGGGCCCAGACCCCAGACCCCAGCTTCCGCCCACCACCCTCACCGTAGGTCTCAGCCATGACTCGGTCGCGGCCGCTTAGGGCCGCAATATGGCGACACGGCCGCGCCTGCTCCTCGGCTGGCAGCCGCTCCACTCGGGCTGCAGCCCCGGCTTCTTCCTACTCCCCGGGCCGGCGCCGCCACTTCCGCCTCCACCCCCCTCCGGCGCGACCCGCTAATGCTGCGGGACACCAGGCCACGCTTTCCAAGACAAGGATTGGCGGACTCTGCAGGCAGGGGGCGGGTCAAAAGCGCAGACTGGTGGGGAGAGAGGGGCAGGGCCTAAAGGGGCGGGACCAATACGAGCGATTGGCGGTGCCAGAGACGCTTCGCCGAGCAGAGAAACGGATTTGGTCAGGAGTCCGTGGGCAGACTCGAGATTCCAGATTGGGTAGAAGCGGACTTGGGGGCGGGGACACGAATGCAAAGAAGGGAGCGGAGGTAGGAGCCGATCCAGAGCTGAGGCGTACTGATCTCTTAGGCAAGGAGGATGAAAACTGGGATGGTACGCATGATACGCACAAATTAACCTCCTACCTCCCTTTGCGGATAATCTTCCAAGAAATCCTAGAAAACCTCTGCTCTGTGATTTATGTCTTCCTCATGGTTCAATTGGCTCATTCCCAATAGTTCAATAGTTCTCTTATTGGTCTAGAGAAGACACTATAATCCCCCAGTTTGGCTGTTCAGTTGTTCCATCTTCTCATCTGTTTGTAATATCTAAGCTTACGAGCCCACCTCTGGTACCCAGCTTGGAGCAAAGAGCTTTTAGTCCGTGAAATTCTGCCTAGCAACCACTGACGTTACGACAGTCAGTGGGTTGACTGGCTAGATTCAGAAGCCTGGGGAAACACTTCCTTTCTATAGACCCACCACAAAGACCAGCGAGACCCACAGTTTGCACTTGGCTGATGTATTTGCATAAAGTCAGCGAAAAACAACAGCAGAGACAGCGGTAGACTGAGCTCACTGGCAGTAGAAATCCCATTTCTGAAAAAGAGAAAGGGGAAACGGGAGAAAACTAGCGGTCATACCACAAAAGATCTAGTGGTTTTAGCAAATGCTGCAGCCACAGAGGGCAGGTTTGGCTGCACAAGTGCTATGCAAATTAGCCTAGAGCCCTCTACCCTTTGCACCTCTCAATCGGACTAGGACTTAGAAATCACTCATTTTTCAGATAAGAAAAGGCAGGGGATTTGTTCCAGCGCATACAGCTAGGATGCCAGGGAGCCAAGGGTAGGAGCATCTTTGCCCAAGGGCCCTCCCTCCAAGTCCCTGCCAGCCCCCAAGACACTCACATCTGTCTTCACATCAGTTTTGCCAGGCTTCAGGGTCTGGTCTTCACGTACAATGCTACTGGGGAAATAACCCAGGCGAGCAGCTACGTCTCCATAGTAATCTCCCTGAACCTGGGGAAGAGGAGTTAAAAGCCGGGGTCTGGGAAGATGGCAAGCTCACTCCTGCTTAAGATCTTTGCACTCTCTTCTCGCTGATCTCGACTTGGCTTGCTCCATCCTTGTCATTCCAATCCCAGCTTAAAGTCACATGCTCGAAGGTCCTCCCTGACCACCCCATGTGAATTAGTCACCCAGCCACTTTATATTAATTCTCAAAGCAGCACATACTTGCTGATATTTTTGATGGGGTGGCACCTACCTCCTTGTCTCCCTCCATTAGAATAAAGGGGTCGTTCTTTATTGAACCCACCATAGTAGGTGCCCTAATAATTGCTAAACCAAGTAAAGTAGACCACAATAGCCTCCCCTCCAAAACTATATTTCAGTTCACTCCCTCAGATTTTCCCTTCAGGTGAAAAATCAGGGTGCATGCCCACCCCAGCCACCCTACCCTTTCCTCCTGTGTTCTCCCAAGACTCACACTGCCTCCCCAGAAGAGCCGCCCTCGGCCCTTCAGCTTGGAGAAGACATACACGACTTGGCCCTGGCGTATGGTCAGGAAACGGCAGTCGGGGGCCACGTAGTCCTGAAGGGCCACAGCCATGGAGATGGGGTCTGGGGAAGGAACAGAAGGGAGTAACAGCACCCTCCCCCTCCCCACAGGCTAGCAATCCAAGCCCCCAACGCCCCCAACCCCCAACTCTTACGGCTGCATTCCTCGTCAGCACACAGCTTCCAGTCAGCCAGCTTGGGCATCAGGTGGCCCCCAACACTAGGACCTGGGAAGGCAGACAGCAAGACAACACCAAGGAACACCAAGGACCAAGCCATCGTGGACTGTAAGCAAGAGAGTGCCTAAGGGAGGAACAGGGTCTCCAGTTCCCTCCTGCCCTCCCTCTCCAGCAGCACAAGGAAGCCTGTGTTCTGGGTCTTGTCCCCGCCTTAAACCAGTCCCAAATTTCACCCACACCACCTATAGTCTGCTACCCAGCCAGAACCATTTCAAGGACAGGGTGAGGGCTGCCAGCACAAGGAAATACCCAGATAGGCTCAAGGCAGCCCAGGCCACTCCAAGTAACAGCCACCCCCTCAACAGAGACGGGGTTAAGACAGGCAAGTTGATATTCAATTCCATCTTTTATGAGTTGGCTTGGGGACCTGGGCCCCTCTGCTCTCCCCCGCAGGGACAGAACCAGAGAAGCCAGTATGGAAAAATCACCTTGGAATTTCCTGTGCTGAGGGGCAGCAGAACAAGGCAGCCCTTTGATTGCCAGGAATAGCCCCAGCTCCCAAGTATGGAGTGAATATTATATGTTGGACCTTAAGCTAGGCGATGCCCTACCACGATCACTATTTATCCTCATAAGCCACTTCCTGACTGGGTGACCTGGGCTAAGCTAGTCCTCCTCCCAGAGCCTCACCTTTCTCATCTGAAACAGAAATAATAAAAACTAGTATTTATTTATAGAGCATTCACCATGCATATTTTTATTAACTCAAATGTATACTCTGTACCACCTTTAAGAGGAGTGATAACCCCACTTTACGTAGAAATGGAAGCACAGAGCCTTAAAGAACTTGTCCAAGGTTACAGAGTTGGGAAGTGGAGGGGCTAGATCTGGCTCCAGGCCCACACCCATCACTACTGATCTTGGAGCTCAGTCAGTTGCCCAGGGTCAGAATGAGAAAGTGGCAGAGGATTTGAACTCAAGTCTCATTACTAAAACTGTGCTTCAAACAAGAGATCTACATGCTGAAGACCCACCTCTTTCCTCAGGTATTCTCACCCCTGGTCAGCAAGCAAGTCCGAACTTTAGTTTTAGGGGAAGCGGATGGACATACACAGGCTTGGGGTGGGGAAGAATTCATCAGGGACAAAGACTGGGCCTAAGCCATCTCCACATACCCAACACCCAGCATCAAGTACCATGAGAGCATCAAACAGCTCTACTCAAATATCACCTACTCAGAGGGGCTCCCCTTGATCACCTGTTACTGCTCCCCAGCTCCACCAACACATCACCCCATTGTCAGTTGTTTCTATCAGAACCCAGCATTTGAAATTAGCTTGTCTATTTCATTTGCCACCGCACAACCTGTGCCAAGAACAGTACTTAGTGTGTAATAGGTACTCGGCAAGTTATTTGCTATGTGCTTGCTATGTGCCCAGTGGGGAAGCAGTGGGGGGGAGGAGGGGGGAGAGGAGGGTGGGCGGTGCACCACAGAAAGAGTCCTCTTTGCACAGGAAGAAAATGAAGCTCAGAGTGCAGACATCAACTGCCCATGGAGGAAACAGCCAGGGAGCCCCCCAGCAGGCGGACAGTAGAAACCAGGATCCACGGACCACAGACCCCGCGTTCCCATGAGCCATCTGCAATAACACTGTGCCATTTAGTGAAGACGGCAATCACCTTCCCCTTTTCATCTTTCAGATCCTACAAGGTGAAAGTGTGCCTCTGGTGCCACAAACCCTGATGTTCAAATGCTTCAAACATTGATGTTCCTCTTTAATGGAAGGAGTGCAGCAGGAGGAGGCTGGGGCTCAGAGCCTTGACAGGACAAAAATATCCAGGGAGAATTTAGCACTATGTCTTATTGTATTTATTTTTGTGGTTAATTTTCTACTCTGGCAAGTGATCACACTTTCCCATCTACATGGTGTGAGAAAAGGTTTTAAGCTATATATATACATATACACGTATAATATACTTCAGTCGATTTAAAAATTGCCAGGTCAGGTGTATGACAGACTGCGAAGAAAGGTCCCCCATTCAATCTCCCCTTCTTACCCATAGCTTCAGCTGGGTACGTGACTGTCCAGCCAGGAACCACATTTCCCAGCCTCCCCTGCAGTTGGGGCACTGGAGGGAAGATTGGTTCAGCCATCTGCCCGAAGCTCCTGGCTGGCATCTGGCCAGCGGGGGGAGCAGCTGTGTGTGAACTGGCCACGCTCCTGGTACCAGCATCTGATCAGGAGCTTCCAAGTGTGAAGTTTAGGGACTCCCAACAGCAGCATTGACATCTTCCTGAACTCTAGAGACTGCAGCTCAATCGAGGGCTGCAAACTTGAATTCAAAGGTCTCCAACCCAGACTGCCATCACTAACATCCTCCCGACGATTTCATGAATACCCAATTCCCTTCCCTTTCTTCCTGAAGTACCTAGAATGGTTTCTGTGGGACTCTTGCTATGACAGAAGGCATTTTTGTCTAGAAAAAGATGAAGAAAAACCTCTTTCTTAACAATCTATCATGTTAGAAAATTACTGGAATCAACATACAAGTCTACGAAGTGAATGGTGTGCCATTAAAAGTGGCATCCTTGCACAGTACAGAACCTGCCCAACTGTACCTGGCAGAATGGGTTTTAATTTCCTGCCCTGAATGCTGATTGAGACAAAATAAAAATCTACCAAAGTGGTAAAAGTGACTTTAGTTTGGACAATGTTGCTACACTATTCTGGGTTTTCCCAAGGTTGCAATCCCCAACATGCTGAGAGGCCCAAACGCTCAGAATAATCTGACGTGCAGGGAAGGGAAACACACAGGACAAGAAAATAAAAACAAACGGTTGTGAAAAAAACAAACCTCAAAAAAAACATTTTAATTCCAGCCTAACAGCGCCAGGTGCAATGTCTGGGGACAGACTCTGGGTACGATGCTGTGTGGCGACCATTCACTCACACACGGCTCCAAGAAGGCCCCCGAGGGGGACTTACCTTCAGGGGGCTGAGCCAAGAGGGGGAGGGGGTGGCCCCAGAACAGGGGACAGAGACACGGGGAAAGGGTGCTACTTTTTGGCAAAGGAGATCTTCATGGCGTTGTTCTGGGTGATCTTGAAACCCTGCAGGGCGTCGCGTGCGGCCCCTGCCTGCACCTCATTGTCAAACTCCACGAAGGCGATGTCGTGCCGCCCTGGGACCAGCCGGACCTCCTTGAAGCCAGGGAACCTGAGAGATGGTCAGAGACCTCAGGAATCCAGACTCAGCACCTCCCCCCAGCTTGCTGGCATCCTGGGGGTAGGGGCCAGGAATGTTGCTAAACATCCCACAATGCAGAGGACAGCCCCAATAACAAAGAATTATCCAGTCCCAAATGTGTGTGACGCTAAGTTGATAACCCTAATATAAAAAAGTGTGCACAAAGGAAACATACCATTTAAATAAAACTGTTAACATGAACACCTGTGCAACCATAACCTCCGTCAAGACAAAGAACACTGCCTCCTCCCCACCCTCCACGTCCTCTCCCAATCTAAGGAATCGTACAAATAACCACTCCGGAAATAACGACCATCCCGACTTTCATGGTCTGCTGTTTCTTTCATTTCCCTCTTCTCATTCCTTACTTCCTTCCCCATTAGGCAACCATCCTCATGTTTACTGGTTATCCCTTTCTCCATAGTATCCTTAGAAAATATGCATTGTTCTGCGGACATGGTATATGAACGCATGGCATTCTTTTCCCGTTTTATTCAGCTTCTCAAAATTGCCCCTCGGCATTAGAATAAGGAACCACGCACGCTGCTCTTCCTGTTCCCTCTAGCTGCCACGTGGCGTCCAGTCGTGAGCACCTGCACTTGACCTCTCCCTTCTCCCAGGCTGCCTCCGGCTCCCTGCCACACTGTGAGGAATGCCCTACCCACAGCCCCTGGGGCCTCGTGTTAGAATTTCTGTAGGATATACAGTTAGAAACAGGTACAGATAAAAACGGTATAGGTGAACCTATCTGCAGGGCAGGAAGAGAAACACAGATGTAGAGAACGGACATGTGAACACAGGGGTGTCAGGGGAGGGTGGGATGAATTGGAGTTTAGGTTTGACATGAACACACTACCATGTGTAAAATGGATAGCTAGTGGGAACCTGCTGTATAGCACAGGGAGCTCAGCTCGGTGCTCTGTGAGGACCTAGATGGGTGGGATGGTGCGGGGGAGGGAGGTCCAAGAGGAATGGGATATATATACACATATAGCTGATTCACTTCACTGTACAGCAGAAACTAACACAACATTGTAAAGCAATTATACTCCAATAAAAAAAAAATGTGGGGGTTAAAAAAAAAAGCAAAGCCACCAGGTGAGCATGACTAAACGGTGGCCAGTTACCCTACACAACGCCTGCGGTGGTCTGCATCCCATCTGCAGGGCACGCAGGGTCAAGCATCCCCACCTCCCATACTTGCAGTCTAAACAGGCTGACTCCTACCAGTCTAGCCAGTGTTCAGTGACATCTCACAGTTGTTTGACTTGCCTGTGTCCAATTTAGAGATTGCAAAGATGAGACCCAGAGCCTGGAGCCCCACTGCAGCCCCATGAAGGCAGAGGACGGCCCACCCGCCCTGGCCACTGCTGCCCTCCACACCCCGCCACTGCAGGCCCGACTTCAGCCTCCTCCTTTTAACCTCTAGTCGTTGTCCCACCTGTACAGCCTAAGCAGGCTTGGGACTCCACCAACAGAATTGTGAAGCTCATCCATCCCCATGGTGCCACCTCCTGGCCATCACCCTCTTGCCCCCGGTCAGCGACAGGCCCCACTTACTGGTTGAAAAGCATGGAAAGCATGAGCTCGTTGGTCTCTTCAGGCAGGTTTGTGAGGAACAAGATGTGATTTGGTGGATTTTCTGAAAGCTGCAGGAGAGCGACGGGAGCCCATTGAGTCTGGTCAGGGATCTACAGCCCTCCTGCTCTCCAGCCCCTGCCCCACCCCACCCCACCCCTGCCCCTTCCTGAATTCTTTCTAGTCCTGCACCTGACATACCCTGTGTTGTTGCCTGTCTTGCCCCCCCTAGACTGTAAGCCACAAGAGAGCACTGCTGTACCCATAAGCAGGTGCTCAGAAGTTCACTGAATGAACCTAGGTGCAGCCTACCCCCACTCCAGCCTCACCGTGACCTTCCAAAGCTGCTCCAACAAACACACCAATTTCTCTGTGCCAGGGCCTGACACCACTGCTACATCCTCATCCTCCAGTATCACCTTCTCAGGGAGGCCTGCCCAG